GCGCGCCATCTTGACCAGCCCCTCCCCGCAGCACTTCGACACTCGGACGCCGCGCGCCGCGTGAGTTCACTGGCCTAGAGGTGATCGGTGTTCGCTGCGGCCTCGGCCCACTGTTCCTTGTTGCGAGCTCCGACGCGATCTCCTGGAGCCGATGGCCCTGGCGACGGCCAGGGGCGCCTAGGCGCGGGCGGGGCCAGTCCCGAGACAGAAGCTTGCGTCCGAGACTGGCCAGCACTTCGTCAATCTGCCCTGCTTGCACATGCAGTCAGCCCGCTCAGCGCAGCCTCCCGCGCGAAATCCTGGACATCGGCCGCGCGCGGTTGCGAGGCGACCAACAACGACGCGTGCTATGCGAGCCCGGCCTTGCCGCTTGGGGCCGCCGTCGTAGCTCGCACCGCGCGCCGCCCGTGACCGACGTCTGGATGCCGCCCTGCACAACTCCAGCGATGGGCGCGTTGCAAGTAAAGAACAGCCGCACCTATCTCTTAAGAGCCAGCGCACGCATGGATAAATCGAGCTCTTGTCAGGATTGCGCGCGCACCCGTGCAGCTGGACTGCTCGGCGCAGTTCGCGGTGGGCGCGCCGTGGGGCGGAGCCAGCGTTGCGAGCAGACAGAACGATGCTGGCACGGTTCGCGTCGTCGGCGTCGACCCAAGCGCTCAAGTCCACGGGCTCAAGCGCGCCTGCCCGATTGCGGCCGCGATGATAGCCGCGCTCGCGAGGGGGCGGGAGGGGGTGGGGGGCCGCGTCGCGGGGGGGCCGCTGCGGATTCGGCGACGTGCTGCCAGCAGCGAGAGCCTCAGCACGCATGCGCGCGATGAGAAGCTTCTCAGGCAGACAGCCTGTGAAGTGTCGCTGCGCTGTCTCGGGGGCCGTCTCCATCTGGCCGCATCGGGTGTTGTCGCGGAGTAGAGCAGATCGAAGAAATCGGGGTACGTGGAGAAGGCCGCCCCCAATTCTTGAGCAAACTGCTTGACGCCCCCTTCGCTGCGGAAGACCTGGCCCAACCCGTAAAAAAAACAAACGCATTCGCGGCGGTGCGTTTGGGGCCTTCAACGTGTAGATCACATCGAGGAGCAGTGGTACATAGTCCTGTAGACCAGGCCCCGCGATGAGTTCGAGCATCAAGCTCGAAACTTCCAGCGCGACGACGCGGCGCGCCGAGGGAAACTGCCAACTGAACGCCGCAAAAAAAAAGTCGATGTGCAAGGCCGCGAGGGCGCCGCAATACGTCGGTCCAAAATCGAAGTCGCCCGAGATCACCCTCGGCCCGTAGCACTCGCGCACCTCCGGAACTTTGTGCCAGCATAGCGCCGCAGCGCCCGACCGCGAGGCCCCAGCGCGAACGACGCATTCGTCTCGAACACACCCTTGGCATGTGCTCGCAGGCCGAGACCGTCATTCAGGTCGAAGCCAAAATAAAAAGCACTCCTGCCGCTCGCCCACGCCAGCGTCTTCTCGAGCCAATCGCACAACGCGTCGACAGCCCGGCGGTACTGCAGGTGAATGTAATAGGCTCCGCGTTCCAGAGCCTCCTTCTTGCTCGAAGGCCGTGGCGGGAAGTAGACCAAAATCATCGCGATGACGAGGCGGACTGACCCGAGCCTCGCGATAGCTGCTCGGCCCTTCAACTTGGCGAGGACTGGCGGCACGTCGACCATGCGTGGGTCACCGAACACTCGCCTTCTGAGCAGGCACGCGATGCCACCTCTTGTTGGTAGGACGCCCTGGTCTCCACGGAGCACTGAGCGCCGTGCGGCATGGAAAAATGATGCGGTACAAAAGATATCTTCTCTCACGCCCCGTCGTTCCGCTCAGGCATATCACGTCAATGTAGCGAAACTTAGCTGACATATCACAGAGACTTCCCTCTTGGCTCGCACTCTGGACATTCCAATGCAGAGACTTCATCGTACATCATAAGTCAAAGAGAAGACGCATCGCCGCGGCGGGGAAGATCCTGCGGGCGCGGATTATGGAGATGCGTCATCCGACGCTGGCCGGCCCCCAACTCAACCTCTCGGGCGAAGGGAGCAAGGGGGGGAGGGGGGGGAGGAGGAGGAGGAGGAGGAGGAGGAGGAGGAGGAGGGGGAGGAGGAGGATGCTGACGATGCCCGCGTCCCAGAAGCTGCCAGTCAAATCAGCCCGCCCCAGCCCGCCCGCGCGCCCGCGCGAGCGTGGGGGACCTGCGCCTCCAGCGACGAACCCAGGTCCCCCGACCATGGGGGTCCTGCGCCTCCAGCGGCGTGCTGAGGACCCCCGACCGCGAGGCCGATCACGACCTCCGCCGCCAGCTCCGCGATGAGGCCCCGCCTCGGAGCCGGCGCCCGACAGGCCCAGGGCGGCCAAGCGCGCCGCCGCCGTGCCGCCGACGCCGCAGGCCTGGCGCCAGGCCTCGACGTCCGCGGCCGTGGCGACGGCGAGGAGCGCGGCGATCGGGTCGCCGAGCCCGCCTCCAGCAGCAGCGCCTCCCGCTCCCTGAGCAGGCAACGCAACCGCCGCGCCCGCCACGCCAGCGCCAGTGCGCCCAGCAGCGCCTCCCACTCCCCGAGCAGGAGCAGCGGCCTCCGCATCCACCTCACTAGCCATGGTGTGGGTGCGCCGTAGCCGCCTCCGCGCAGCGCGCGAAGGCGGCATGTCGGCCCAGGAGTCGTCCTCGAGGTCCGCCTCCATGGGCTCGGGTCCAGCAGCAGCCAGCGTGACCAGCGGCAGGCCCGCGGCGGAAGCCGCAGGCGCACCTCCGCCGTCCGCTGGAGCAGCGCCCGCTCTGTCGCGCCGCCGCGCCGCCTTCGCCTCGGAGGCGTCGGCGGGAGCAGCAGCACCATGTGCGCCGTGGGCAGCACCAGCGGGGGGCTCCTGCCGCTCCCTGCACGCGAAGGTCGCGGCAGAGAGGGCAGAGCGAGCCACAGCAGCAACAATGCGCCGCGCACAGCCGCCTCCACCAAGGAAGCAGCCCACGCGGGCGCGGCCAGCGCCGAAGCCCCTCTAGGCCCCGCCATGCCGTCGCCTCCGAGGAGAGGCGCTGAGGAGGAGGGCCGTGCGATCGCTTGAGCCAAAATGGGAGGAGGAGGAGGAGGAGGAGGCGGAGGAGAGGGGGGAGGGGGAGGGGGAGGAGGAGGAGGAGGAGGAGGAGGAGGAGGAGGAGGAGGAGGAGGAGAAGCAGGAGGAGGACGAGGACGAGGAGGAGAGAAGAGCAGAGGAGAGCAGAGAGGAGGAGAGGACTAATTAGGGAGGAAAGGAAAGAGAAGAGAGGAGGACCAGTGCAAACCCAAGACACATCAACGATGTTTGAAAACAAACCTCAACGTTTCCCCTTTCATAGGCCCCTACAAATATCCATTTCAGCAGAGGGAAGCGCCCCGATGGGAAACAACTGATTGAAGAGACCCCGAAGAGTGCCAAACCACCATTCTAGAATCGTGCCAGCACGCCCTTCGGGGGATTGCAATGCCGCGAATCAACATAAGTGTTGCACCCTGACCATCCTGAATCGTTCCAACACGTCATCTCTGGTACGTGAACAATGGGCATCCGTAAAACGGTTGCAAATGGTTAGAACGAATGTGCGCGGCGCTAAAAAGAGAACCCCATGTTGAAAAAGGAACCACCCTGAATCCGTGAAACCCTTGCTTTCAAAAAAAAGATGCGCGCGGCGCTAAAACGAGAACCACATGTTGAAAACCACCCGCCCTCAATCCGCAAATCCTTGCTCATGTGTTGAACGAATGCGCGCGGCTCTAAAGCGAAAACCACATTTTGAACACCACCCACCCTCAATCCGCAAAACAGTTGCCAATGTTCAAGCTTAAGGGTCATAAATTGTAAAGAACCCTCAGGCGAAGCGCCCAGCCAGCGCCTCCGACTGGCCTCGGGGTGCGACATGGAGAAAGCATGTCTAAGAACATAGAACGGAGGAGGGATGGGGAACACTAAGGAAAGGGAGGAAGAACAGGAGGGGGACAGCACAAATTTCCACAGGCAACGATTGTACTGGGGTGTTCCACTCACGATGTGTGTGTATGCCGGCTTCCAATTACTCTTGCGCTGTTCCTTGATTGGGCGGAAACCAGCTGAATCAATCATATTGCTCTTCTCGATTCCCCCCTCATGTTATGCCGCTATGCCGCATAACAGCATAACATGAAGGGGGAATCGAATGAGCTACATGAGGCTAGCCAACCACACTTGACGGCCTCGGCGTCGTCTCGCGGCACGGCCGTGTGTCCATCGCTGCTGCGGTCCGAAGATGTACGCACCCACCACGTGACCGTCGTCGACCCAGGCATCAGAGCCACAAAACTCGCATCCACATGAAGTCTGGCATTAAGACACAGTCCTAGAACAAGATTCGAGATCGCTGTGCGACCTGGGGGCAACAAAACTTGCTTTTGGCGATTCGCTGCAAATTCCGGAGGCCCTTCTTGCTGTGCTCGTTGTGGGAGGGCACTCGCGAGCCCGTAATGTTGCCCCCGAACGAGCCTCAATTAGAGGCCACACACATGGGGCCCGAGTCGATGGGGTCCGAGGATCGCGCCGCATCACTGATACGTCGCCGACCGATACCATCGCCGATGCATCGCCGACGTCGGTGAAGCACCAGCGCCGTCGGCGCGGATACCATCGGGCTCCGCATCGAGCCGCATCGCCGATGCATCGGCGACGTGGCGCGATCCTCTGACCGGATCTGGCGGGGGCCGCCGCTGCCCCGCGGGGCCCCCCCCTTGGGCAACCCCTCCCCAGCGGCGGGCGGCCGGCGGCCAAACCCTCGGCCGCGCGCGCAGGGCGAGCCTGTGGAAGGAGGCGGTCATGCCGAAGCTCCGGCGGCCCCCCCGTCGCGGGGGGCGGGGGCGGAGGGGCACTGGGCCACTCACGGTGGAGGGAGGAGGCAGGAGGAAGGATACAGACCCACAACATGTGGGAAAAATCAAAAATGCGGCTTCTCGCCGTTTTCGGCGTGAGGGCCCTCGCTGGGCCCCGGGACCGTCAAAAGAGGATCCGGGATAACAAACCAGTCCCCATGAGGTGATCCATGGAGACTCCGTGTTGAAAGAATCAAGAAACGGGAGGTCTAACAGAGAGGAAAGGGGTGGGCGTAGGTGCGGAAAGGAAGACAAGGGAGAGGGAGAGGAGGGAAAGGAGGGGAAAAAGGAAGGCAATGAAGGCGGGCAGGCGGGGGGAGAGGCAAGGGAGAGGGAGGGGAGGGGAGGAGTAAGGGGGATAAAGGGGGGGGTGAAGTCAAGCCTGGAGCGCTCGCGTCATATCTGATGTCCAAGCCAGCGCATCCCATCCCTTTTCACGAATCCCTCTCTATTCGCAGAGCCAGAAATTGGCGCGCATCCCAACGGCATCGTAACACACACGAGAAAGACATAATTACCAAAGCGTGGCAAACAGGAATCACTTGTTGGGAATAACGCACACACAGACGCTGGTTCTGAAATCGGACAATCGCTGGGGCGAGATCGAGATGCAGTGGGACGTCACCGATACGCACACACATCAAAGCGTTGCCACCACTAAAACAAAAATGACCTGCCAGAGCCGTTCTGGGGTGGTACAAAACTACACGCGGATGCAGGGGTGCGGCCAGCGCCGCGGCGAGAGCATCGTTCCACCGGACGTCAGCCGTATCACACCTCCAAAAAGTGGTATGCTACTCAGCGGGAGCACCACACGGCCAAGTCGGCGGTAGCGCCGTTCCACTGAACGGAGGCTAGATGGAGACAGTGACATGTGGCAAACGCTGCAGCGGGACCAACAATGCCGTCGAAGCAAATATGCAGCCACCGCTGCGACGACACCGACATTCCTCTGGTCGGAAGATCGACCGAAATTCGTAAGTCAGTGGGAACACCACTTGGACTGCTGCAGTGTTGCGGCCAGCGCTACAGCAGGAGCGTCGCTCCAATGGACGGGAGGGACGTGATTATGATTCACCGTGGCAAGCGCTGCACCGGGTGGGGGATGACTTGTGAAAGGTCGGGAACACCCTGATCGCAATAACAAAGACATGGACAGTCAACTCGTAACAATTTAGAGTGCAAAAACCGATGTGCGAGGTTGGCGGGCGCAAATATGAAACCAGTTCGAGGAAATATAAAATAATAAGAGTGATCACATTTCGGTGGCAACTCATGGGAGTCTCCCATACTATCTTGTCGGCTCTTTCGAATCGACGCCAATCGACGCGAATCGACGCTAATCAACGTTAACCGAGGCTAAATCGGCGCTAAGTTATCGACACCCACACTCTAGTCGACGCTAAAGACAAATATGAATTACAAGGGTATACCAGGCTCCCATGATTTGCTACCGACTCAGATTTTGCAGTTGTGGAGAGGAGGGAGGGGAATGCGAGTGGGGAAGGGGGGAGAAATGGCGGAGGGGGAGGGCCCAAGTACAGGAAGGGGTAAGCGATTGGCGGGCCCAATGTCGGGCATGACCTCACGCGCCTGGCCCGGTGGCCATCCGGTCGCACGTGGGCGGATGCTGGGGCCGCGGCGCGGGAAGGAGAGAGGGAGGGGAGGGGAGGAGAAGGTAGCAGTATAGAGGGGGGAGGTAGGGGAGGGGGCCCAAGGAAGAGGGGGAAGTCTAGGAGGCAACTCCAGGGAGTCCTTCGTGGGAGCGACAGGCGATTATCATGTGAGATCTAGGGTGCACGAAACCAGACCCAATGTGAGTTAGCACCAGGTTGAAACCGATCAGAAACGCCGCTCGCGCACCAGGCGAACAAGTCCTCGCGCGATTGGCGGCGCTGTGCCGAAGCCCCTCCAAATCTGTGGCGGGCCCAGCGAACTCCGAACCGCCATTCTGGCAGCAGGCCCGCAAAACCTCGCCAGAAGCCCGCCTGCGCCTCCTGGGCAAGACCGACCATCAGCTCCAAGACCCGCGCGGCGAGCCCCGCGCCGTCCTTCGAGGAGCAACGTTGGAAGAGCCCCGCACCCACGCGCTGCCAGACCGACGCGCACGCGGAAGACTTGGGCGAACCCGTGCCCGACCCTGACGCGGCAGGCTGGCGGAACCGCGCGCGCGCGAGCGCCCCCAACTGCTTGGCGAACTTGGCTCACAACAGGCCGATAGGGACGCGCGCGCTACTGGGCGGGCGAGCGCGTCCGACTGCTTGGCGACATGGGCCGCTGACTCGGCAACCAGCTCAAGGGCCCGCGCTGCAAACCCCAAACCGACCTCGTTACATCAGGCCGGCAAGGCCTCGCAACCGGCTCGACCTTCAGCTCGAGGTCTCGTGCGGCGAGCTCTAGACCGACCTAGTCGCAGCGGGCTGGCAGAGCCTCGCAGGCTGTCTAGCGCAAGAACGCGCCCAGGCCCCAGGCGAGCTCGGCCACCAGCTGGGCGGAACGCGCGTCGATAACCAGGTATTCCAGCAGAGGTGATTCGCGCGCTGCCGAGCGGACGTGCCTGTCCACACCTTCGGCGAGATCGGTCGACTGCTGAAGGGCCGCGCAGCAAACTCCAGATCGACACGGTACCAACAAAATCGCGACAGGCCCACACAATAGCCTGGTGCCATCTACTGGCGCGACGTCTGCGCCGGCACAGGGCGAAACAGACATGGCGCAGCCAGGGCCAACGCCGAGCGGGCGGCGGCGACGCTTGGCGCGACCCGCCCCACGAACGCGGCCCCGCTCGGGCCCTGGCGACGCCGCGACAGGTCCACAACGCCAAGCACCACACAGGGCGGCGACGGTGGGAGCAAGAGACGCACAGGCGGGCACGCGCGGCGCTCCTGAATATAAATAAATATATATATATATATAATATATATATATATATATATATATATATAAGTATGTGTATATATATATATATATATATATATGCATTATTCCCCTGCGCCGTACCCAGGCCTACGGCCGCACGCGCGGGGCGGCCCGCGCGCTTGCCCGTGCACCTGCGATTGCACGCGGCGGCGGGGGCGCGCGTCGCTGCGCCCCCCCCCCAAGCGCGCCCCGCCTGATCCGTCTGCTCGGTATGCTCGCTTGCGACACACGCGCGCGCGGCGCCAACCGCTCCGTGGCCGCGCGCCGCGCGATGAGGCCCATTCGGCATTTCGTGGCCATCCATAACCTTCGCCTGTGACTCCGCGGCAAACTGTTGCACGCTGCCTAGTTCGGCGAGCTCGGCGCCAAGCTCGATGACCCGCGCGGTCAACTCCAGCCGTAACCAGTCGCTCAAATCCGCCAGGCCCTCGCGCGCTGCCGGAGGCCTGACTGGCGCGTGTTGGGCAGATCGTGTCGCATCAGGCCGACAACGCCTCGCGCACTGTCCTCTGAACAAGCTTGCCAGATTGCTTGGCAAGCTCGGCCACTGGGCCCGCGACCATCGGGAGTTTGCACTGCCCTTTATCAGCCGAGCAGCAACTCACAGTGATGCCATCGCTGTGAACCAGGGCTGCGTGGCCTCCTCTGGAAGGGTCTCAAGTCATGCCTGCATCTGAGCAAAGGGGTGGCACTGACAGGCGACGTCCCAGCCTCAGACCAGGTCGGTGCCATTGTTCCTGGGTGCTTCAAGGTAGCAGGTTGCGTGATGTTCATGTCCGCAACCAGCTTAGTCAGGTGACACTAAACCTCACTGCTCATGCCGCAGACTACACGGAAGCCATCGCTCTGGGCAGGGCTGCGTGGTCTCATTCGTCCGCTACTCGCGCGTAGGCCATGCCCACGACCAGCGCAGGGAGAGAGAGAGAAAGAGAGAGAGAGATAACAAAAAAAGAGGGAGAGAGAGAGAGGGAGAGAGAGAGAGAGGGAGGGCGGGAGAGAGGGAGAGAGAGAGAGAGAGAGATGCACCCACCTGCGGGCGGAACCCGTCCCGCCGCGGGATGGGGCGAATGACGCCGCAGCGCCTCACAACAAGTACCCCACCGCGTTTGACACCGAAACTTGTTCCCCAAATCGTTCCACCAGTTTACGGTCTTCAATCAACGCAGGGAGGCCGCGCCGACCCACTGCTCTCGAGCCGCGAGCCACGGCGGCACCATCGCAGCCGAGCAAGACTGGGCGGCACCCACCACCAGCGGCTTGCATGTGGATCGCAATGACGCACTTTCTTCCTACTGCAGTCCACGGCGAAGCCATCCAACTGGATTCGTGGCTGCGTGGCCTGGCCTCCGTCGGTGGCAGCTTGAGCTTAGGTCCCTGGCCAGCGCAAGACGATGGCACTGACCCTCATCATTCAGGCCACGGGCACAACGAAGCCCTCTCTCTAGAGCGAGCCTGCGTGGCCTCCTCTGGCGGCAGCTCCCGTGTAGCTCAGGTCCGCGACAAGCGCAGGGTAGTCGCAGTGTCCCTCATTGTCGAGCCCGCAGGCCACCTTGGTTCCACCGCCCCCGAAAAGGACGGCGTGGGACCCCCGGCCGCAACTGCGTGTAGACCGGGTGCCTGGCCAGCGCAGAAAAATCGCACTGACCATCGTGGCCACGGCTCTTGCTGCCCCGCCGAATGCCCCGCCCATGCCAGGATGGCGCAAGCTGGCTTGCCTACGGAAGAAAAACGAAAGCGGGACAGCATGCGCACTCCTTGAGCCAACCATGGCAGCGGAGGAAATGCAGAGCTTGCTAAAAAACTCCAGCCATCCTCACCGAAACCGCGTTGCGACTGTGTTCGCCACACCTGAATCGTTCGCCGTTGTGTTACCGCCGCCCAAATGGTGGTCGACGTCGGTGATGTTGTTGCTGTCAGTGATGTGCGCGCTGCTGCCAAGGCTGATGCTATTGCTTATGCCGTCGTTGACACTGTTCATGCCGACAATGCTGCCGTTGTCGCTGTCGAGAAAGTGTGAGTGAACGCGGCACCTCGGCACGCCGCGGGCTGTCCCTGCCAGTGCACCGCTGGCGGTGAGTGATTTCCAGATCCATCGTTCCTTGCCCGCCCCCCCGAGAGGCAGAGCGAGAGAGAGAGAGAGATGACATGGACTTCAACGACTCCCACCAACACAAAGACAACCAAAACCAAAAGCGTGGCTGCCACCGATGGGAGTGGATGCTCTGATGGACCGATGAGCCGTTCTGAGACCCCTGATCCATTATCAAATGTCACGATCAATGACATCCCTCGCCTGCTACCTTACCACTGCAATTCGCTTTCCTCATCTCCGTAATGATCCAACCGACCGGACAGGCAAGAGCCTCTCAGATAGCAATGGCCATGGTAATAAGAAATATTCGAAAGGCTCCCCAGCTGAAACAGAAAGGAGCTCCCAGAGCCAAAACATGAATCGTGCCAATAAACTTGAGGCGGAATATGTGATTCTCGCAGCCGCTTGATTTCACTTCCGCGTCATAAGCAGTTACAGAGAAAGGGTCAAAGCTCGCAGTCCAAACATCTCACGCATGCTGATCAGTGCGCCTATCGATGCTGCTATCGGCGCTAGACTAGGATGTGTCGAACATGGAAGATGTGCGTACTGCCTTGGCCCGCTGGTTCGCTCAGAAAGACATCTCATCTAAGGTCCCCACTTGCGCCGTGAGTGCCCGCATGTCTCTGTTGGAATCGCCATGCGCATATGAAGCGTACCGCAGTGCACAAGCTCTGCGCACCCACTCACGCCACGGGCCAAAGGCCGCGTCTGTCCCCACATCGCTACATGCGAAGTGCGCGCGCGCGTGCACGAGGCACGGGCCACATGTGCCCCAACTTGGCTCATGGGGGGCTCAGCCCTGGCGCAGCGGTCGTCAAATCATACCACGTCTCACAGGCAGGCAACAAGGGCCAGTGCACACACACGCTCGGTGCCCCGACCTCGCCAGTGCACCCCTTCACCCCCCCCACACACAGAGGCCAGAAGGCTCGACGCGCTCCGAGGCGCTCAGAGGGGGCTCTCGGGAGGCCTTCCTGCGGACAAAAACCGCGAAGGCCTTTATTCGATGGGCTCTCGGTCGCGCCGCGCCTCTCCGCCGTCATGAAGAGAAGTCTGAGGCCAGCCATAAGAGCACTCGCGGCGCACCATATGGAAGGCACGTTTCCGTCGGGAGGCCCTCGTCCTCACACACTCATAAAAACAGTGCGGCCCCCCCCCACCCGTCTCTGCGTCACTGTATGATCTTGCAGATCGAGGCAGCTCGCCTGGGACTCGAATGTGGACGGGCTGGTGGGGCTAGGCGAAGCCTCCAGAATCGGGGCCCACTGGAGCAGGCCTCTTGATCATTGGGGAGTCCTGCGTATGCCGTCTTGGAAGGCCTGCTGAGGGGGCGACAGTAAAAAGAACGACGACCACGACCACGAAAACAGGTGGCATGCGTGCCCTCTCTCTTGAACGAGGCAGCGGCGAGGGACAGGAGGACGTGGGGCCATCCCGATGCCTCAGGGCTCCCTTGCGGTTCTTATGGGGCCATCTGGGCCCCTTCGGGTCTGACGGGGACGATTTGAAGGCCTGGGGTCATATAGAGACGTTCTGCAACCGCCCTGCGGCACTATTGCGCCAGAGTTGACCCATCTGGGGGGCCAACTGTGGCCGAACAGTTGAGAATACAGGAGGCATGTTTTGAAGAGTTCGGGCAGTTTTCAACCCTCGGGAGCGCTTTCCGACCCTCTTCGGGGCCCGCGGAGCCCATTCAATGTCGGGGCCTGGCGGGTCTTCGAGGCGGGGAGGCGGCGCCGCGCCGCGCCGCAACAGGCGTCCTAGGCAGGAGCGAGAGAGAACACGGAGCCCCCGCAGCAAGAGAGGCAGGAGGAACATAATCTGTTGCATCCTCAGGCGACCTGCTCTGACCCATCGCGTCGCTGCTCGCGTCGAGTCCGCGTCGGATGCATGGACGGACTGCGATTTACAGCGCAGGCAAGGCTCCCGACCTCCCGACCACTTCCCCAGGACAGGTTTTTCATCCCGAGTCGTTTTTTGACGGTCCCGAGGCCAAGCGAGGGCCACGAGGCCGAAAACGAAGAAAAACCTCCGTCTCGATTTTTCGAGACACCCGATGTCTGGATTGGAGGCGGTCGGGGGGTCTGGGCCCAGAAAGGAGAATCGGGGAAACGGGGGGGATGACAACAAATCCGCTCAAAATCGGTCCCTGGACCCTTCCCAGGATCGAAGATGACTAGTTCTTCGAGCCGCGTCCAGGCGTGGCGACAAAGGGGCACGTTCTCCCCCCTTTCTGCTGGCCTGAACCAGTGAGAGAGCGTGATCCACCGCTGTGAAGATTTCCCCCCTCGTCCTCCCGAGCCTGGGGGAGGTTCCCCCCCCCCCTTCGAACCCCCCCCCCGCCCCTCCCTACTGCTCCCCCCCCCCTCCGCAAAACCCCCTCCCCCCCCCTCCGGAAAACCGTGGGGTGTCACTACTGGTTAGACCCCCCGCCGCCCCTGAGAAAACCGGGGGGGGCGCCACTACCGGTTCGAACCCTCCCCCCTCCAGAAAACCGGGGGAGGTCACTACCTGTTCGAACCCCTCTCCCCCATCCCCCCTCCAGAAAAACGGGGGGGGTCACTACCGGTTCGACCCCCTCCCCCTTCACCTTCGTCCTCACCGCCGCCTTCACCACTGTCCCCACCACTGTCCCGCTGTCCCCACGACCACCATCCCCACCACTGACTGTCCAACTGTCCGCACCACTGTCCCACTGTCCCCACTGTCCCACAGTCCCCACCACCACCGTCCCCACCACTGTCCCAGTATCCCCACCACTGTTCAACTGTCCCGAGGAGCGGGAATCGTTTGCCGGCGGCGAGGGGGGGGGGTTCGAACCGGTAGTGACCCTCCCCCCCTTTTCATGATGGACTCAAGGCGGGGGGTTCGCACCAGTAGTGACCCCCCTCGGTTTTCGAGGGGGGGAGGGGCGGGGGACGGGTTGGGAACCCCTAGTGACACCCCCAGGTTTTCCGCCAGCAGCGGTAGAACACGCTCTTTCGAACCAGTGCTGGGCCCATCAGCAGGCTCCAACCTCCGAAGGTGCTACGTAGGAAAAGATGGAACAACAAACAAAAAACATAATGGGGCCTTCGTGAGGGCGGAGAGCGGGCGGCCACCTCCGCACCCGGGAGGGCGGAAAGAGCCGGGGAAGGCTGCCAAGAGACCCACACGGGTAGAGCCCAGCCCCGCTGCATCTTATCCTCGTCATAATCACCATCATCATCACCACCAACAACCAACGACAGTCACTGCGCCGATTGCCTCCAGTCAGCCCTGTGACGGATTCAGAGCCCACTGCCTCGAAATCTTGCAGACAAGAGCGAGTACAGTGTACACCCTTGGTAACCGGATAGCATGGCGTTAATGTTGTGCGTATCGTAAATCGGGGGCGCGCAAACATGGATTAGCGATCCATGGATTTGGCGCGCGTTCGCCAAATCCATGGATCGGGGGAAGTGGCCTCTCCAAAATGCGGCCGGTGCCGCCTCGTTCGGCGGCGGAAATCAACGATTTCTCATGGAAACGGGACCCGTCGCTAATCCACGCCCCCTTGATCCATGTGTCCGATCGCCTGAATCAAACATCCGCATCAGTGTCCGTCCCCTGGTCCTGCCTGCCCCTGGCCCCATAGCTTCTGCATTACGTGTGGGAAACTCTGTGCGAGTGGGCCTGAAAACCAGCCGAGAAGCGTCCAGAGATCCGCCATCGACCCGCTGGGCACGGTGTGGGCGTGTCCTCAGGTCCTGGGCCCAATCCTCCAAGCGTCAGTCCTCACGGACCCCAATTTTCGAAATCTCCTGGGGCTTGTCGAGTGCCCCCTTGGCTCCCCCGCATCTTCTCGTGTGGCCAGTTGTCGGGCCCAAGACGACCTCAAGACGGGCCAAGAGGGAGCCAGGAGTTCAAGACGGCCCCAGGGGGCCCCGATACGCCCAGAAATATGCCCAAGACGCCCAAGATGGCCCAAAGAGGGCCCAAGAGGCCTCCAAGACGGCCCCAGAGGCCTCCGAGAGGCCTCCCAAGAAGGCTCCAAGAAGCCCAAATCATTGATTTTCTGAAGACATGTGAAGGCTGTTGGCCTTCTCGCCTTTTCGGCTTCCCGACGCTCCAAGACAGCCCAGACGCACCCAAGACTGCCCTAAGACGGCCCAAGACGCCCCCAAGAGGGCACCAAGACGGCCCAAGAGGCTCCCAAGACAGCCCAAGAGGCGCCCAAGACGGCCCAGGAAGGCCGAAAAACGGCCCCAAGAGGGGGCCCAGATGGGGAACCCGAACCCTCGGTCCTGAGAGGCGCCGAAGAGAGCCCAAGAGGCCCCCAAGAGGCCCCCTTGAGGCTCCCAAGAGGCCCCGAAGCTGCTCTCAGGAGGCCCCCTGGGGCGCTCCGAAGAGACCCGAGGATGTATACCTGAGAACTCCGACCCACAACCAAGGCACGGTGGCAGGATGGGCCGAAAGCCATGCGATCCGCCGCCCCCTGTGGTCTTGCCACAAGTCACAAGGCTGCCTGGCGTGCTAAATCCTATTGGTTTGGTGGTGTTTTTTTGTAAAAGAACTCCCCCTGGAATCCAGCCCAGCGCGCTGGCCACCCGGAATGGCCCCCGCCCGTTGCGCCACCAACGTCTCCAACAACTGCCATGTCGCAGGGGGCATCCTCATCAAATCGCGATAGTGGGGATCCTAGCCCAAGACGCCTTCTGATAAAAATGAGCGATTCGCACGAGACGCCCTCGAACAATGGCGATGTTGAAATCGATGGCCTCGTCTTCGAATCTTCCCACATGGGAATTTCGCTGCAGGCATCTTCGAACACATGCAATGCTGCAAAATAACGAACCGAAGATCATGTCGGAGCGCTCTCGGATGACCTCAAGATGGCCTTCAAGTTGGCCCAAGACGGTCCAAGATGGCCTCCACGACGGCCCAAGAGCGTCCAGCATGCCTCCATGTCTGCCGAAGAAGCATCCAAAATGGCCCCGGATGGCCTCAAGATGACGGCAGACGGCCCAAGAGGCCCCCAAAGAGGCCTCCAAGACGGCCCAGCAGGCCTCCAAGAGGCCTCCAGGAGGAAGGCCCGAAGAAGCCAAACTCATGGATTATCCATAGGTGTTTGAAATATGTTGGCATTTGCTTGTTTTCGGCATTCCGATGGGCCGAGACGGCCCAAGAGCCCTCAAAGATCGCCCCAAGATCGCCTAAGAGGCCTCGAAGATGGCCGCAGCAAGGCCCGAGAGGCAGGCCCCAAGACGGCCCCAAGGCCTCCCAAACGCCCAACAAGCTAGCCTGCAAGACGGCCCTGAAGCACCCCAAGAGGGCCCCAAGTTGACCCAGAGAGGCCCCCACGACTGCTTCCGACGGCGTCAGACGGGCCAGGAATACCCTAAGACAGACAAAGAGGCCCCCGAGGAGCCCCTACAGGCCCCCAAGAGGCCCAAGGAGGCACCCAATCTGCATCAAAAAGAGGCTCCCAGGAAGCTCCTAGGAAGCTCCCAGGAGACCCCAGTAGTCCCCCCAGAGGCTCCCAAGATGCCCCCCCTCCTCCTCCTCCTCCTCCTCCTCCTCCTCCTCCTCCTGATCTTCCCCGCTCTCCTCCCACAAGTGTTCCCCGAAGGGTTTCCACAACGGCTGGGGGGAACACATGGTCCGATAGCTTGGCAGAGCTCTGGCCAGAACGCTCGGCCACATGGGCGATCCCAAAAGGCAGGGGGCGGCGGTGATTCGCCGTAGGCGTCTTCGATATACCCATCAATAATGCCATCCAACACGAAGGTAGACGATGGCCCAAACCAGAGCACGGAAGGAGCCATTCCGGGAACAGAACACCAGAACACGAGGGTCAGAATGGGGCCTGCCCTGGGCCAAACACCAGAACGCAGCCTGGTCCACTCCAGGAACGATTTGGGCTGGTTCAGAAACAGCTGCACAACGAAGGGAAGGAAAAAGAGGCTGAATAGGAGAAGAAGGAGCGAGAAGGAGAAGGGAGGCTCAAGTAAAGACAGCTGAGGATAATGAGGAGGTCAGGTGAGGCTCTAGACGTGGAGCAGAGGGGGGGGGAGGGAATCCCTCCCCCCCTCCCTCTGCTCGGCCCGAGCGCGAATCAAAAGCAAAGAGGAACAAAGGGTATCAGGCCGCCCCTGCATTGCAAAAGAACATGTTTTGTCAGACTGCCCATCGATTCTCTGCGGAATGTAAACCTACTGGGCCAATACGACGGGAGTCGGGCGGGAGCAGACCATACAAGGCGTGTTCGGCTACCAAGTTAACAGCAAAGCGTACGCAACGTGGACATAAGCGCCCTGAGACAGAAACTCGGGATCATCGTTCGTCCGAGCTACCAGGGGGGCGGGGGCAAGGAAGCGACCAAGGCTGGTGCAAACTCGAAAATTGCCCCTCCCTTGGATCCCAAAGATCTTGCCATGAGGGGACGGAGGATGACAAGGACGCTCAGGATGGGCGAGGGGCGTGACGACGAGGTGAATGGGTAGGAATACCCAAATGATAAGGGAGGAGAAACAACCGTAAGAACGCTTATGGGCGGAGAACAATGCACAAGGACACGGCAAAACACAGCGCGCTGCTGGTTCACACGAACGTACGTGCTGCCCTTCCTCCTCCTCCTCTTCCTCCTCCTCCACCTCTGCCTCCTCCTCATCCTCCTGATGCTGTTTCTCCTCCTCCTCCTCTCCTCCCCTCCTCCTCTACCTCCTCCCCACCCTCCCGAACTGCCCGTCCTCCTCTGCATCCTCCTCACCCTGCTGCAAACCATAATCAACTGATTCCGTGCTCGCCGCATCCAGACAACACCTAATGTGCTGCCTTCCGCTAAAGCATACACCTGCAAAACACGCTATACTCACCTATGAAAGAGGCGGACGAGGCAGGGAAAGGGGAAGGGGACGGGCAAGGAGAGGGGAAGGAAATAAACGCAACAGCGAGAGAGAGAGAGAGAGCGAACACAAACAAAACTGAGAGATAGAGAGAGAGAGAGCGCGAGAGGAACCAAACAGAAAGAGCATGCGAGAGAGAGAGGGATATGTATACATATATATATATATGTATAGAGAGAGAAAGAGAGAGAGAGAGAGAGAGAGAGAGAGAAAACAAGAGAGAGAGAGGGGCTGAAGATAACGAGAGAGAGAGAGACATATGATATGTTGGATGGAGAAGCACACTGATTCAAAAAAGAGAGGAGAGGATGGGATGGAGGACGCAGAAGGACAGGATGAGGGGACCTCCTCCAATTCCTCCTCACCCGCTCCCAGAACGGCCGATGTGATGCCTACACGAACCCTTCACCTCTCGACTCCTTCCCAGAGACTTTTTTTTTCATCCCAGACTATTTGTTGGTGGTCCTAGAACCCGAAAACGGCCCCACGGAACTGACCATGGCGGAAAACCACCGCCCCGCCCCGCTTTTTTCAAGACGCGCCTCTCTTGCTGGACTGGGGGGAAGGGGGCACCAACTGGGAGTGGGGGGGAGGGAATCAACCGCTTATTACTGGCCTTCGCGGCGCCTGCAGGGACCAGCAGCAACCACGCATCCACGGAGTGTGATTGAGTGGGCCCAGCGGCGGCGCCGAAACCGGTTGCACGCAGCAGATTTCACGAATTCCCTCCCCCCCCCCCCTGCAGCATTCACGAGCGACGAGCGTACGTATCCATATCCATGCCCTCTCGGTTTGCACGCACACCGAAGCGCGATCCCGTGGGTGCACGATCGCATGGATACGTTCCGCCGCGGGGCACCCGCACAACTCTGCGGTGCACCCACAGGGTCGCAGCCGGCGAGTCTGGACGGCGAGGCAGTGGATGGGGACACGCTTCCTGCCCGCGACAAATCCCCGCCCCCTCGTCGTCCCCGAGCTCCCACGAGCCCAGGCAGCACCGTACTCTGGCGACCACGGGAATATGGCCTTCGGATAGACTGTCAGGTCCCAGAACCGCTGCGCACCGAAACGCAGGCGGTAGGAGGCCCGCTCGGAGCGCGGCGGGTGGCGGAACGGCACCTCGGGGGGGTGGGGGGGGGCCCGCCGCAGGCGCTGCGGGCGAGGCGGTGATGAGGAGGGAAAAGGGAGGAGCGGATGGAACTGGGACCGCAGAGGGAGAAATGGGGGGGGATGGGGAGAGGGGAGGGAGGGGGCAGGGGAAGGGGAGACGGAGGAGAGCAGCAGCTGCGGGGGGAGTAGCAGAAGGAACAGGGACGCCCACCGCAAGAGTGCTGCGGAGGGCTGGACAAGGCAAGTGAGAAGGCAGATCCCCCGTCTGTCTCCCCCCCCCCCCAGAACCACATACTGGACAGGGCTTCCTGTGGCCTCCTGGGGCCTCCTGGACCTCCTGGGGCCTCCCCTGTACCCTCCTGTGGCCTCCTGGAGCTGGGGCCTCAGGAAGCACCCCAGAACATTATGTTGCATTCTGGGGCCTCGGTGGGGACCTCCATTGTTGTAGGGGCCTCGTGGGGCCCTTGGACCCGTGGACAGCCCCGGGAACCCGAAAACTGCAGATAATTGTTCTAGGAGCCGTTTCCCTCAGGACCCCTCCACCGAAAAGAAAAAAAAGGAGAAGCAACACCAACGAACGTGTGCATACGCACAAACTCCCGCAGCGGACGTCTTGGGTCAGAGCAAGAAATCCCTCGCTGGCGCGCGGAGAGCGCCAGAGGCGGCGTCGCAGGCGCCTGGCGCGTGGAGCGCGCCAGAGGCGGCGCCAGGGGCGGCGCCGCAAGGGGGCTCCCACGCCGATCCGAGAAATCCGCGTGGAACTGAATTTGTATGTGTTTGGCTCTCCCCGAGCCTCGCCGCCGGCCCGCTCCACAGTTCCCACGGCGTCGGGCATGTCGTGGAGACGCCGCTGCCCCTGCCGCCTCGCGACCCTCGGGCTCGCCGGGCCCGCCGTGCGCCTGGCCAAGAGGGGACTCGGTCGCCGCCGCCACGCGCCGCAATCGTCGTCGGTCACAGCCGGTCGTTAGACATTGACATCACCATCACCATCAGCAGCAGTATCACCATCACCATCACCATCACCATCACCATCACCATCATCATCATCATCATCATCATCATCATCATCATCATCATCATCATCATCATCATCATCATCATCATCATCATCATCAGCATCATCATCATCATCAACACCATCAAAACCATCATCGTCATAATCATCATCATCATCATCATCCTCATCATCATAATGATCATCATCACCACCATTATCATGACCATCATCATCGTCATCATCATCAGCAGCATCATCATCACCATCACCATCACCATCACCATCATCACCATCAGCATCATCAACATCATCCTCATCATCACCATCACGATCACCCCCATCACCGTCGTCATATCACAATCACCACCATCATTATCACCATCATAATCGCCATGGTCATCATCATCACCATCATCATCGTCATCATCATCATCATCAGCATCAACATCACCATTATCATCACAATCAGCAGAAGCAACAGCATCATGACCATCACCACCGTCATAAGCGTCACCATCATCATCATCATCACCATCATCATCATCATCATCATCATCATCACCATCCGCATAATCACGACCATGATCATCATCATGATCAGCGTCACCATCATCAGCATCATCCTCATCATCACGAGCAGCACCATGATCATCACCATCATCACCACCATCCTACTCCTCATCTTCCCCCTCCTCCTCTTCAACATCATCATCACCAACATCGTCGTCGTCCTCCTTCCCATCATCACCGTCATCATCAGCAGCATCATAATCACCAGTACCACCCGCACCACCACCCTTACCAACGCTATCATCAAAAAACAACATCGTCATCATCGCCAACATCATAGTCAACACATCATCATTATGAATCTCTTCATTCCCACCATCATCCGCGACAACATCATCATCACCATCACCATCATCTCCGTCCTCTCCACCATTATTATCAGCATCAGAATCGGCATCATCATCACCACCATCATCCTCATCACCATCTCCATCATCATCTCCACCATCGTTATCATCGACATCACCACCATAATCATCAGCATCAACATCATCATCATCATCTTCTTCTTTTTCACCATCATCTTCATCATCGACGTCGACACCCGTCGCCCTCGGCGGCACCGGGTCGTCAACGTCAGTCGTCATCCTCCGTCTGTCGTCGTCCGTCGTCGTCGAAGGTAATTGTTGAAGTCAATCGTCGGTCGCCGTCGTGAACCGTCCTCGTTTGTCATCGGTCGTCCGTCGTCGTCGGTCGTCGTCCGTCCTCGGATGTCAGTTGTCGTTCGTCGTCCCCGGTGGAGCTCCCATCAACGGTCAAGACCCCGGGTGGGGGGTGCCGTCGGGCCAAGCCCGAGCAACGCCCCCTTGCTTAGGCGCCCGGGTGCGCACCACAGCACCAGAAAGGAGGTGATGGGAGCCTTTTTCGGGCCAAGGGGAAAGCCCGAACAGCCCCGCGGGGCGGTAATGCCCCGTTTGGGGGGTCCTTCAGGCCAAGCCAAAACGACCCCCCTTGCTCGAAAAAAAATCCGGGATCGCTCTGAGATCCCTGGCGCGGATGAAGGCCTTCTCTGTTGAAAGCCTGCCCGCTTTCTTGGCGGCCGGCGGGTCGCATCTCGTTGCGGAACGGCCTTGTTGTGCTGGTATCGCTCAGGCACCCTGACCCGCGGGGCGTTTGTGAGGGTGGGCGTCGAAAATGTGGAATTCGTACTTCCTTACCAGCGTCCTGTGCGTCCCTCACAAACAATAGCCACGCAGGCTACGGGTTGCCACCGGCACGGGGAGGAGGAGGAGGAGGAGAAGGAGGAGGAGGAGGAGGAGGAGAAGGAAAACGAGGAGGAGGAAAAGGGGGGAGCAGGAGCAGATCACAGCGAGGACCGTCAGTCGGCGCGCGCGAGGGGGCGTGGCGACGGGGGCGGCCTTCTGAGGGAGAGGGGAGGTGGGGGGGTCCTCGGCAGCCCCCTCCCGCCCTCCGACGCGCTCTCTTCCAAAGCAAGGCCGTTCTCGCGGCAGCAGCTCCCCCACCCCACCGCGGAGCGGGGAGGGCGGCGGGGGGGCCGGCCGGCCGACTCGCCGCCGCTCGGGTCGGCCTCTCGGGGGCGCCCACGCGGCGCCCGCGCGGGCCGCGCCGCGCGCCCGCGCGGCCTCGGGCCGCGCAGGCGACGCCCGCAGCGCCGGCGAGCAGCCCCTCCGCGGCGGCCCGCGGGGCGCCCGCGGGCGTGGCCGGCGTCCTGCGGGTCGTCGTCGCCATCGCCCGGGGCCCGCAGGCGCGCGTCATCGTCGGCGTCGCGAGGGCCGTGGAGGTTTCCAGGACTGTCCGGTGGGGGGGGGCGCCTGGGCCCGGCAGGAGCGAGAAAAGACCATCGCGACCACTGGGCTGAGGCAGTTGCCCCCGGCGCCCGCGCCCACCCCCCCAGGGGCCGACCCCGACCCCCGAGTGCCGCGCGCTGATCATCACCGCTGGGGGATCGGGGTCAGCCTGGGAGGGCGCCAGGGGCGGTTCCCTCAGCCCAGCGGTTGTGAGTGTCCTCTCTTCGCCCATGAATTATGAAGAAGGCATGTGCTCTCGGCGAGATTTACCCTCGTCAGCAGGCAGCCCGTCGAAGAACGGCTCAAGATGGAGACCTGGCCCTGAAGCAAACCCCGGGGTCCAAGACCCGTTGCCTCCATTTTGGCGCACTCCTCTCCCTCCTCCTATACATCCTCCGGGGGGGCGATCGCACTCCAAATATCACTCGTGAGCGCCGTCTAGATCAACACCAGATGACGAATATGACCATCGTGTCTGGAGCCTACGTGCCTGCTCTGCGGCTCTGCGAGGCGGCTCCGCCCACTCCACTGGGGGCGTGCCCTACATCCTCCTTTCCACCTCCCCCCTCCCACCTTCGCCCTTCCCCTTCGACAGATCGCGTCTCGGGTGTTCGTTAGCGAGGGGGCAATCAGGTGGGGTGAAGAAACATGCACCTTTCGCGCACCTTGGTCCAGCAATGGCAGTCCAGGAATTCTTCAGGACCCCTTTATGTCCACTGTCCCGCAATACTCGATCACCCATGTTTATTCCCCCCTTCCCGTTGCCGTCCGCCCGAGTGGTGCAAATCAGCAAAGAGAAATCCTGGCGTCCCGCGGCCCGCCAGCGACGACGGTCCCGTGCTCCGATCATGTTAGGAGAATGCAGCCAGACGATGAAAGTAGCGGGCTAGCGCTTCGTCCTGTGAAGGAACCTTCTGAGGCAAACTGGCAACTGACGATGCGCATGCGAAATAATATGGAAACACATTGGCAATGAGTGTTCGTGGGAACAAACAAGCTCTGGTACGCCCTTCTCCCCCCGGCGAAAGCGCCCCCCCCCCCTGGCAGCGCTTTTGGCGCCGCCACAAAAGTGCTTCGTGTGCCAAGGAGGGGGGTCCAGCGCCGACACAAAGAATCTAAGCGGACCTCCGACGGTCTATGTGTATGTAGTTTGTTGCTGTCCGATCCCTGTGTCCTCCTCCTCTCTCCCTCGTCCTCCCTCCGTGCGGCCCGAATGGCTCCGACTTACGAGCCAATCTTCCGAAGTGTACATTGCGTTTCCACACGACGGGCCGCAAAACCCTTCCAGGCGCCACTTCGCCGCAGGGAGGAAGACAAAACGAAGGAGGAGGAGAGGGAAAGGAGGGCGAGGAAAATCACCCTCATAATGCGCACCCCGACAAGCACAGCCGCTGAGGCTCTCTGTCCTATAAACACCCAAGGCCGTCTAGTTGACGCCAATTATAGGTGGTGGATTTTTGTTTTTTCCTTTGAAAGCATGGGGTGGGATGGATGAAGAAGAGTAGGAAAGAAGAGGCGGAAAAAGGGGCGAATCTGACGGAGCCGGCCTCGCCCAGCCGCGCCGCGGCCGCCGCGGGCGGCCGAGCAGACCCTCGGGCGCCGCTGCCGCGGGCCAAGCTGCCAGGGCGGCAGGGAGGCGCATCCCAGCTAGCAGCTGCGGCCTTGCCGCGCGCGGCTTCCCCAGGGCCCCCTCGCGCGAGGGGACGTCCGCGTACTCGGCGCCGGACCCCTCCCCTTGGCGCCGCCCCTGGCGCGCGCCCAAAGAGTGGGATCCACCGCCGACCCAACATATCCGCACCGGACAACCAAAAACTCGACTTCGAAGGCAACACCTGCAAGGCTTTGGTGCTTACGAACGCTGTTTGCTTTGGGGGAGGAACGGGGAAAATGGAAGCGGACCGCGATCATATACACAACTCGCCTCATCAAGCGTGCTGGCAATTATCATGTTCGTGGCCTGGCTGTCCTACGAACGTTGCCGGAACGCCAAGCGGGGGAAACGGCTTCGGGACCCGCCACGATTACGTTGCTGCTTACTGTAGGCGCCGGCTGGAGAGGACAAAGCCTGCCCCCCCCAGGACAGACACACGCAACCAAAAATCTGTACCTGTGGCGATTATTGCCTGGGCGAACGGTCCAGGAGGAAAATAAAAAGAGAGGAACCAAAAAGCGAAGGACACGAATTATCCCTAAAACGTCTCATACCCTGGCCTGCCAAACTGTTGTTGGACAGACCCGTATTGAACGGCCTCGACGGCCAGGCAATATAGTCGGCAGGGGAAAGGAGGGAGGGGGAGCAAAAACGGCAGGAAAGCAGGAGGAAGAGGAGGGGGGCAGGCAACAAAAAACAACAGCGGTTGGGACCGGCGGGGCGCCCGCGAGGTCGACCAACCAATGCCTGAGCATGCCGCGCCGCGGCATGGACATAGCTACGCGCGAGCGGGGAGGCGGGCAAGCGGCAGGCCTTCGGTGGAGCGGACACCACGAAATAAATTAACGTAGAGCGAAAGGAGACAGGAGGGACCGCAAAAGGGAGGGAAGGGGGGCACCCGGGAGGGTGCCGCAAGCAAGGGATAGGTTTCCGAAAGATACTACAACGCTGATGGAGCGGCTGCGCGGGGTTGGTCAGTCGAGCTCTGTACAGCGACGCCCTTCCCGGACAAACTCGTTGAAGGCACCGTCGAGCTCCGAGGCGTTCAGGAGGCCGTGCCGACGTGCAGTGTGGGCGCGGTACAGGCCAGAAATGCCTCGCGCCCGCTGTTGCGAGCCCACGTCGTTCAAGCGCCATCCACTCAAATTGGGGGACCGCGTCGCCTAGCAAGTGGGGCACGCGTCGCCTAGCAAGCGGCGCACCACCGGGCAATGAGCTAGGCGCGCAATGGCATCGTCGCCCCTCTGGCATCCAAACCGGCAGCGCCCGCAGCCACCGAAGCGAGAGCTGGCGCACCAACCATAGCCGCAGGCGCAGGACGGCAGCCTACACCCGCGGCTGACAGAGACGCCCTATCCTGGCACAGCGAGGCCGCGCAAGCTCAGCGCAACCGATGGCAAGTGATGCGAATAGCACCGCGTCTGGCAGCACAGGAGGAGTGGTCTGATGCAACAGCGAAACCTACATGCATCCTAGAATATGAATCATACCGACTGCGATGCGGGACGGGACGCGAACGAAGTGCCCCCCGGCGACGCGGAGCGGCAAGGCCTGCATGGGACGCGCTGCGGGCGCACTCGGCACCTAAAAACAAATGGGTAAACCTCGTGCAACCTAGTGGCAACGCCGTCCGCGTGAACCCGCGCGGCCAACACGCAAACTGCACTGACGATCGGACACGGCACGCTGCCACGCGAACTACCAGCTGGCAGGAGCGGCGCTCCGCTCGCCAACGGCAGTCACCTCGCAACGCGGCCCGCTAATTTGAATCTGAATACACTGGCCACGGCCGTGCAGGAGGGGCTGTGGCGCCCTCATGGCGCACGGGACTCCTCTGGCGCAGGGGGGGGACAGGCGCCCTGCGCGCCCTCGCGGCGATGCTCCTCGCCAATGACTTGTGCAGCCTATTGTACTGAATGTGCTTGAGGACCCTGATCCGCCGCCCACTTACGCCCGACGATGGATCTGGCCCCGCCGATGCCCCCCTCGCTGCCGCTGGCCCTGTCGATGCCGCAGACGACGGGCGCGGGCTCGACGCGGGCCCCTCGCCTCGTTTATAAACGAGCTCCATCTCGAAAGAGCCGCTGATGACAAGGCACGGCTGGTTGCGGCAATAGACTAGGTGGCGCGCAAAGTTGCAAGTGAACTGCTCGGTGACCACGCCGAAGCCCCCCTTGCCCAGCATGGGAACCAAGCGACTCCAAACTGCATTTTCAAGTTGGTCACGATGCAGGGAGCTTGCGGCCATCACATCCGCGCGCTCGGGGTCATCGGGAATCCGCTCGTGGGGCTGCCTCGCCGTTCCGCGGAGGCGGTGAATCATCGCCCCGCGGTTGCTCTCGGTGCTAAGGCGCGGTCGCATTGAAAAACGAAGAAGCGCCACTTGGGTGCCAAACGGCTGCGGACAATGCGCATTCAGCGGCCGCAGCGACGGCCCCACGACAGCGGCGATGCCGCGGGGGGGGGGGGGGGGGGGGGGAGCTGGAGCGCGCAGGCGGGTCGCGGGCGCAACGCTAGCCTGGCGAAAGGCCCAGCCATATGCAGTTGCGAGTAACGCCCAGTGAATATCATCTTCGGCCGGCGTTCCCGACGGGGCCACGCAACGCGGGAGGGGCGCGCCGAAGTCGGCGAGGGGGGAGGGGGGGGGGGGGGGGGGGGGGCACATGTGGGCGGTAGAACTGGGGCATTCGGCGGGGCCCCCTATGGGGCCACGGAGCGTTTGAGGGGTGTGCCGAAGTCGGTGGGTGGGTTGCGTGGGGGGTGGGTGGGTGGGGGGAGGGGCGCGCGTGGACGGTGGCGCTGGGGCCTTCGACGAGGCCCCCTATGGGGCCGCGAAACGTGCGAGGGGTGTGCGACGGTAACGACGATGACGACGGCAGCGATGATGATGATGGTGATGATGATGGTGATGCTGGTCATGATGACGGCGGTTGTGAAGGTAATGATGGCGATGGTGATGTTGGCGGCGGCGATGATAACGATGCTAACGGTGGATGGAGGCGGGGGGTTGGAGGAGGAAGGAGGAGGACGAGTGAGACGCGGGGCGGTGCCTCTTCAAAACGAAGACCCAACACCACATGCTGGCGGAGAAATACTTGGAAAACACTGGGGGCGCGCGGTGGGAGGTTGGCGGGGCGACGCGGAGGGCGACGCGAACGCCGGAGGTGCCGATGGCACAGAGTGGGCGACGTTAGGGGGGCGCCGCTGGCCAGGGCGGCAGAGGGCTGGGCAGGGGCAGCAGGAAAGACAAGAGGCAACGTGACAGCATAAAAAAAACACGAGAAAGTCACGCCTCGAAACGCTGCTGGGGCGCGAGCGCGCATCGGTCGAGCTGCCGCTCCGTCAACCTGTAGTTGCGAGGGCGGTAGAAGACGCTGCCGCTGCCGTCGCCCACCTCGGCGAAGGACGGGCGCAGGTCCTGGTCGACGCCCCTCGAGGCGCAGCCCTTCGCGAACGCGCCCTCCATCGCGTCGGTGACCCCCCAGAGCACCTGCGCGCAGAGCGCGGCGGTAGGGGGGCGCGGGCGCGGGCGCGGGGTGGAAGCGAGGACGGCAGGGGGCGGGGGAGGGCGAGGAGGAAGCGGTTGGGGTGGGAGAGAGGGGGGAGGCAGAGGAGGACTCTGAAGGAAGATGAGGGGGGCAAGGAGAAGGATGAGCGAGGAGGGGAGGGGGGGGGGGGGCAGGGGTAGAGAGCCTGAGGGGGGATAAGGATGGGGGGGGGATGAGGAAGGATGGAACACGTGGAGGGCAGACAGCGGCGGCCCGAAGGCCTGCAGCGAAAGAGGGGGGGGGGGGGGTGGAAGCAAGATTGCATCCCACCGGTTCGCACCCCCCCCCCCCCCCCGCACTTCCCCCAATATTCACCCCTTCACCCCTTCCCCGAGGGCGCCCAGGCACGACTCCCACAGGGGCAAGAATATGGCGCCAAGAAGGCAGCGCTGTGCGGCGCGAGCCTTGGCTTGGATTGCAATGCCACTGCGTAGCCTTTGCAGCCGCCCCCCCTCTCGGAGCTGCCCGAAGATCAGGGCGGGCGCCGAGCCCCCCCCCCCCCAAATGACCCAACAGGCAGGAAGCCCCAATGGCCACCTGATGTGCCTCTAGATAGCCCTCGAGAGAACCCGATGCACCGAAGTTAGACAAGAGGGAGGGGTGGAGAATGGCATGCCAGAGAGCACATGTTACAATTGCTGAAGGGGTGTCGACCTGCTGGTCCAAAAATAAAGCCCTCCGCATCCGCACCCCTCAAGTCGCATCGCCTCTCGTGGCCGCGCGTGCCAGCCCCTTCCATCGCCACCCCCCCGCCCCCCTCCCCCGCCCCATGCCCCCTGCGCCGCCCTCCCCGTAGGGTCGACCCAGCCGGCGCCGCGCAAGACAGAACATATCGAACCCCAAAGAGCCGCGAGATTGCTTGAACACGGCCAGGAGAAGGTCGGACCTCGCCATGACGCTCGCATTGTGCAAGGCCGCGAAGAAGTCCTTGATGGTGCACCCGTTCATCGCCAACAACCTCGTCATCTGCTCCTGAACCTGGTCGCCAGTCTGAACCAAGCCATCGCGATGGGCGACCGCCGCCTCGCCCAAGTTGACGACGCCGCCGAGCACGGGGAAAGCCGCGCCGCACTTGCCGGCGCATGTCGCGCCAGCCTGCCCCCGCGCGCGCGCCCCCTCTCTCAGAGGAGGAGGCGGAGGGGTGAGGAAGGAGGAGGAGGGGGGGGAATGATGAAGAGGCGGGGGATAGGATGAAGGAGGAGGAGGAGGGGGGGGGGAGGAGGGAGAGGAGGAGGGATGAGGGGGGAGGAGGAGGCGGAGGAGGAGGACGACGGGGGCGACGACAAGGACGAGGACGACGACGACGACGAGGACGACAACTCCTCTGGCTCTTGCCTGGCTGAGGGAGGGGGGGCCCACGACCCTGTCCTGGCATCTGGGCCGACCCCGACGCCGCTCGGCGCCGTTCGAAACCGAAACGCCACCAGGGCGCCAGATCAACTTCTCCCGCCCGAAGATTGGGCCGCCGCCCGAGAGGGGAAGTCACTAGAACAACACTGCTGCGCCCGCCCCCCCCCCCCCGCCGCCCCTCCAACTTCGCGGCCTTGTCCAGCCCGACGGGAATGTCGAAGGTGTCGGGGACCTTCGCAACGAGGGCGTCGAACAAGCGCAAGAAGGCAGCCCTCGACGCCCCCCACAAGAGACCATGCCTCTCCGAAGAAGCAAGGCTGCTCCTCAGGGACAAGAGCACCATGAACTTGAAACTCACGGCTGTGAACAGAAGGCAACGATCTGGCTGGGCAACCCCCTCGCGTTCAGCAAATGGTTGGGGACGCCTCATGCTGCTGCAAAGGCCGAACTTGCGGCCTAGGACATCCCACGCCTTGGCCCTCTTGTGGAACCACTGCGATGCATTAGTATAAGCCGGCTCCTCGATGTTGAGCGCTGTGGTCAACGCTTGAAAGTCCACGTGGATGTAGCCGTCCCTGGCGAGGTGCTCGAAGACGGCAACCTGCGCCTCCACGCTGCCCATCCCAGGCGCGCCCGGGGCGAGCAGGACGTTGCGCAGCACGTGCCTTGCCTTCGCCATCTGCGTGAAGATCTGTTCGCCAGACTTGGACACGATGATCATCCCAGACAGGTCTGGCTGACTCAGGACCTTGGCGGAAAAAAAATCCAGGGCGCACGTGGTCATGCCTTCCTCATCCCAGTTGCCAGCAGCGGCGGCCACCTCTGCGAGCTCCCCGGGGCCCTCGGGGTCCTGGAAGAGCACCCACTCCTGGGGGGCGCGCAAAGGCAGGGGGGACATCGGTCGGCCGCCTTGCACTGGATACAGGACGACACCTTCCCCATGGTCGTCGACGTCGGAAATTCGGTCGGAGGCGACACGCTCGAAATCATCGGATTTGCTGGCGGAGGCGGGTCGTTCGGGCCCCTCGGATGTCGGTTGCGCCCATGCGCGCTTGCCGACAACCGAGGGGCCCGAATGCTTCGCCCCCGAGCGAGCGACGGATGGATCGAGCGGCCAACCACATCGCATGCATGAAGGGCGGGGGGCCGAAGAGGTCGGGGCGAACGTTTAACTTCGGCGAGGGTGGAAGGTCATAGAAAACATATGCGCGCGTCCTGTTCGGTAGGCAGCTCCACTGTCTCCAGCGTGATCAAGTGCGTCAGCATCTGGCGACTGCCGCCGACAGGCGGCTCACCCTTCAAAATCTGAATCTCGCGCAAGGACGCGCGCAACGACAACGTGGTCACCCCGAAGAAAAACCTGCAAGCCCCAGTGGCTCATCGCGGGAGCGGCTGGGCAAGCGGGCACCCCGTCCCCCATCTGAGTTCGGGCTCGCTGGCGGGGGCGCCAGGCGTCGACGACGCGCCAACCTAGTGCGACCCCCCCCCCCCCCCCCCCGAGGATCTCAGCCGACCCCTCTCCGAAGGCGGCGGCGGGGGGGCGGGCTCGCTGCCGAGCAGCACGGCGGCAGGCCGACTCCTTCGGCGAACGCAACCCCGCGCGAGTCGACACCCCGCGGGCAGCCCGACGCCGACGCTGCATGCAGCGTCGGCGTCGGGCGGCCTACCCGTGAACGGGGTCACGACCTAGCTATATGCGCGAACTCGTGCAAGACCATCGCACGATCGGCATTGCCATCCGTGCGGGTGCATATGCCAAGACACCCGCACGAATGCGCATGCATGGCTGCCTAAACACTGCTGAATGCGAAGCAACTACATGCACATACAACCGTATACGAACGTACGAGTCGAACTATCCAGGGAGTGCGACCCGCCCGATCCACCGATCATGCGCTCAACGTGCATACAGATGGCACACGCGGACCTCTGGGCGCCCATGGGGGCTGCGACTGGGGCAAGCAATGGAATTGCGCTGGCAATTCAATGAGGCTACACGACCGCTTTTACCCAATCGATGCCAGAAGATCAGGCATGCTCGAGCAGTGAACGGGGCCATCGCGCGAGCCCACGGCGCTCGAGCGCCTCCCCAGCGGCAGGGGGCGACTGGCATTCGAACCGGCTCACCCATCGACCTGGAGCTGCGCAGACAACTGAGATAAACCAACGCTGTGCACGTCTGACATTGAGACAACTCCGAATGATGAGCCACCTGGGAACCCAACGGTCGAAAACTACATGATGGGCCGATCGATGCATGCTGCAGCCCAAAAATTCAATTCCAGGG